GCAAGGCGAACCGAACAAGTGTTCTCGCTTACTCCCTTAAGACCTTCAATTGAAATAGTGTATATATATATTTTTTAACTCTTTGTCCATCTTGAGACACCTGTAGCCAGTATACACTTCCTCAAAATAGTCAATATTAATCTAAGATAACTCAAGAAATCTGTAATTAATTGACGTTTTTGCCGAAAAGATTGTAGTCGCACAATTTTACATCTAACTACGATGTTTGCTGCAGTATTTCTCAAGTAGAAAAATATGCATGAAAACGAGTAGTCTCTCATTGAATGAAAGTTTGTGTGCACGAACAATCGAAAAAAAACCCTTGCCGAAGACCAAAACGAACATAAACGTCACTAAATGTCATCAGAATAATGCACAAACTGTTCCAAACTGTTTTGGATGGGAAGCATGTGGAGGCTTTTATGGAGATGAAGTTAACAATTTGATTACTGCCCTGGTTTTTAATATTGCCAAGTGACATGATCACTCTGTCTCATTTTAGTCTTGAGAGACCCTAAATCGTATAACACTGGCTAGCTTTCTGATTAGGTAATTGAAGGGTGTCCGTTCTAGTGACGGTGTCATGTTCCTGTCCTCCTTGTCACCCTGTGGGTTTTCTGCCGAGAGGAGAGGCAGAGCTAGCTCCACGTCCCAGCTGACGCCCCGGGACAAAGAGACTGCTGACCGCTGCACTGTGTCCCCTGGCCCAACCACCGCACAGCTGCCGCTGCCTTGCCCTAGTCGTCTGAAAAATGCATTCTGACACTTGCCTGTTTTTGACACACACAAGTGGACGGGGAGAAGACAGTTCAGGGCTGAAAATGATGATGTCCTGGTCATTTTGTTTATTAAATGCTGAGTCACAGCTTTTTAAAAAGCACAGAGTGACTGTATAAGGGCATGAGGGACTGTGACTGAAATCCCACAGGAAACTTAATCACTCATGCTTTACACTACAGTGCCCAGTGCAAATAACGTAACAGATATGCATTTTTGGCCTTTACATCTATTAAAACTAAGTTTTAATTGAACCATTCAAATGTGCATACTTGAGAGATGTTATATTTAGTAAATGTGTGTACATGTGTTGAGGTGAACTTGGATGACTACTGTGAGAGAGGTTTCCATGAGACAGCACTAGTGCCTGAAGCCCATTGGTCTGCTGTGATGTCATCTCAGTGTGACTGAGGCAGAGTGGAGATGGCAGGCGTGTTCTGACATGTATTTGCAGCGGTCTCGGCACTCAGGCCACCTGGTGAAAGGGCTTAAGCAGATTCCAAGAGGGTTGCATTCTGAGGGCTGAACCTGTTTTGTTATTTTAAGTACAGCTTTCACCCTGCACAATTTTTTTGTCAAAGAAAGGTGCTTATTTATTTTCAGTCATCCAGGTTTTGCTATAAGCCCACAAAGAGTCGAGACTCCTTCCCATCTCTTAGCTAGTTGTGCACATGTTACATACAGTACTATGCATGTCAACACTACTTAATTGCCTCACTAGTACAATTGAGGCTCAGTGTTGGTTTTGAGTGGAGTTAGTCTGTGACCTGCTTGTAGCTTCCTGTAAATAGGTGTGGCAGGCAGTTGTGTGAGCTAAACGTCTGACTGGACTGAGACAGACCGTGAACTGGTTTGAACTCCCGTCTCACAGCCAGACTGACAGAAATAACCCCAGAGAGGACAGAATGAAGGATTGGGAAGGACAGGACTCTACAGACCATGTGCTCTCTTCATGCAGACACACCACAGAGACATACCACACATCACATGACATGTACATGATAGCCAATCCCATTGAGAAGATTCCCAGATCATACACAACTAGGCCTATAGCTTTGACTGGTTTTTGTGAACTTCTGACAAATGGACACCATAGAATGGACACCATAGAAACCCTGATTTAGTGGTGGTTATTCCTATTACATAATGCTTAAATGCCCCACTTATGTTCAATTAGCGGAACAAACTAAATGGAATGGTATTTGGAAATTAATATAATCTCTTCCAATACTATTGGGAATGGGATTTTTTTTTTTTTGCTTATTAGGCCTAAACTATGCTGATTATCAGTGGAGATATTGTCACTTTTGAAGAACATTTAGGCCTGACTGCAGAGATTCATTTACTTAACTTAAGTGTTAAAATACTTGCTATGTTAATCTGCAAATGCATGAAATTGAGGTCTTTGGCATGCACGCCATGCCTCTATGAAAAGTGCTGATGTAACACAGTGTGTCCAAATAAAAAGATCAGTCCGTATTTCTAATGGCTAAGCAGAAAAGGCGATTTCATAAGCAGTGGAAGTACTGTGTTTGTAACATTAGAAGCTACAGTGGGGGGAAAAAAGTATTTAGTCAGCCACCAATTGTGCAAGTTCTCCCACTTAAAAAGATGAGAGAGGCCTGTAATTTTCATCATAGGTACACGTCAACTATGACAGACAAAATGAGGAAAAAAAATCCAGAAAATCACATTGTAGGATTTGTAATGAATTTATTTGCAAATGATGGTGGAAAATAAGTATTTGGTCAATAACAAAAGTTTCTCAATACTTTGTTATATACCCTTTGTTGGCAATGACACAGGTCAAACGTTTTCTGTAAGTCTTCACAAGGTTTTCACACACTGTTGCTGGTATTTTGGCCCATTCCTCCATGCAGATCTCCTCTAGAGCAGTGATGTTTTGGGGCTGTCGCTGGGCAACACAGACTTTCAACTCCCTCCAAAGATTTTCTATGGGGTTGAGATCTGGAGACTGGCTAGGCCACTCTAGGACCTTGAAATGCTTCTTACGAAGCCACTCCTTCGTTGCCCGGGAGGTGTGTTTGGGATCATTGTCATGCTGAAAGACCCAGCCACGTTTCATCTTCAATGCCCTTGCTGATGGAAGGAGGTTTTCACTCAAAATCTCACGATACATGGCCCCATTCATTCTTTCCTTTACACGGATCAGTCGTCCTGGTCCCTTTGCAGAAAAACAGCCCCAAAGCATGATGTTTCCACCCCCATGCTTCACAGTAGGTATGGTGTTCTTTGGATGCAACTCAGCATTCTTTGTCCTCCAAACACGACGAGTTGAGTTTTTACCAAAAAGTTATATTTTGGTTTCATCTGACCATATGACATTCTCCCAATCCTCTTCTGGATCATCCAAATGCACTCTAGCAAACTTCAGACGGGCCTGGACATGTACTGGCTTAAGCAGGGGGACACGTCTGGCACTGAAGGATTTGAGTCCCTGGCGGCGTAGTGTGTTACTGATGGTAGGCTTTGTTACTTTGGTCCCAGCTCTCTGCAGGTCATTCACTAGGTCCCCCCGTGTGGTTCTGGAATTTTTGCTCACCGTTCTTGTGATCATTTTGACCCCAGATCGAGGGAGATTATCAGTGGTCTTGTATGTCTTCCATTTCCTAATAATTGCTCCCACAGTTGATTTCTTCAAACCAAGCTGCTTACCTATTGCAGATTCAGTCTTCCCAGCCTGGTGCAGGTCTACAATTTTGTTTCTGGTGTCCTTTGACAGCTCTTTGGTCTTGGCCATAGTGGAGTTTGGAGTGTGACTGTTTGAGGTTGTGGACAGGTGTCTTTTATACTGATAACAAGTTCAAACAGGTGCCATTAATACAGGTAACGAGTGGAGGACAGAGGAGCCTCTTAAAGAAGAAGTTACAGGTCTGTGAGAGCCAGAAATCTTGCTTGTTTGTAGGTGACCAAATACTTATTTTCTACCATAATTTGCAAATAAATTCATTAAAAATCCTACAATGTGATTTTCTGGATTTTTTCTTCTCAATTTGTCTGTCATAGTTGACGTGTACCTATGATGAAAATTACAGGCCTCTCTCATCTTTTTAAGTGGGAGAACTTGCACAATTGGTGGCTGACTAAATACCTTTTTTTCCCCCACTGTATGTAGGATGAGAACTGATTAAGTTATGGTTAATTAGGGTAATGAACCGTAAGCCCATTTTTCTACTTACCCGGAGTCCAATGAACTCATGAGTACCATTATTATGTCTCTGAATGCAGTTTGAAAGAAGGTTGAAGGTAGTTTCTGGCGCCGTTGCTAACTAGCGTTAACACAATGACTGGAAGTCTACAGCAACACTAGCATGCTAGCTGGTAAGCATATAAAGGGCTTGATTGCCAAAATGACCCACTATTCCTTTTACAAAATAGTCTGCAATCAAATTATCATAAAATATAAACACTCGTAGCTCAGTGGAGCATGACATGACAACTTTTTAATATCTAGCACATAATGCTCAACCAGTAAAAAATGTCTAGACATTTCTATCCATTGACATTCTTTTAGGTCTCCTCATGATGAGTGTGGTGTTGAGTGTTGCCGCTGACATATTTTAGACTACATGTGAAAAAACTCAGAGTATGTTTTCGTTTCTCAATCATCCACCAACCACAACACAAAGGTGTAACAGAACAGAGTGAGACATTAGAATGAAATATGCCTCTATTCCAAATGAATCATGCAGGCTTTGTTGGTCTGACACAGTGAGCTATTTGACTAAATTCATGGTATTAGTGTTGGATATGGAACTATCTTTGACCGTGTGATTTACTCTGCTTTTAGAGATTGTAACCCTCCCATGGGCTTAAGACATTGACTGCATGCTCTAATAGTTTACCCGCTGCCAATCACTCCTTTCAATGGTAACTGATTTCAATAGTATGCTTTGTTTATTGCATTTTCTCAGTTACAGCAATTTGAACTGAAAACACCCATGTTCCCCTTTTTTGGCGTGAAAGTGCTCTGACTTGGGAAAGATTGCCACCTACTGGGTCTATCGTTTCAAACCACCTCTGATATACTTGTTCTATATTACAGTGATACTCTGACTTCATATCACTTAACTTGGTTGTTTGCATGTAAAACAGTGTAATGGCATTGTATGTTATATTTACAATAAATAAGCTGCTGTTGTTCCAGTAAACCCATTGATGGTGATGAAACTGTTATTTTTTTCAACATCTGTGTTTTCAGTAATCCCCTGAGTTACCAAGGTCTATTCTCAGGCCTATGTCTGGGAATTTCCACAGCGCTACACAATAGGTTTGTTGTTCACCACGTATGCTCTAACGCCTCCTACATATTACTTGGACATTGTGGTTGGAAAACACCTATGCCACAAGTTATGTATGAGGCCTGAGTTGTCTGTCTCTGTTTCTAAGTGCATGTTTCTGTGTGTCTGTGTGGCCATGCAGCAGCAGCTGCCAGTGTACCACCCCACGCCCAGTCAGGCCCGCATGGCCAGCCAGCTGCCAGTGTACCACCCCACGCCCAGCCAGGCCCGCATGGCCAGCCAGCTGACTGAGGAGGAGCAGGTCCGCATTGCCCAACGCATCGGCCTCATCCACCACCTTCCCCAAGGGAGTGTACGACGCTGGCAGGGATGGCTCCGAAAAGAAAATTAGAGAGTGAGTACCGCCGGCAACAGCACTCAAACACAACACATCTCCAAGCATTAAAATACACATTTTTTTTATCATGTTGGATGAATATGCCTCGTACTGAATGACAATAGGCATCTGCGTAATCTCTGTATACACATGCATATCACTTACTGTTGCTGAATGTCAATTTGTACTAAAGAAATACAAATACTGATACACACATTGTTGTCTCCCCATCTGTGCAGGTGTGTGATTTGCATGATGGACTTTGTGTATGGAGACCCCATCCGGTTCCTGCCCTGCATGCACATCTACCACATGGACTGTATAGATGACTGGCTGATGCGCTCCTTCACCTGCCCCTCCTGCATGGAGCCAGTGGATGCTGCGCTGCTCTCCTCTTACGAGACCAATTGAGACACATCATCACCCCACTACCACCATCACCCCTGCTCACTGTTCTGACTTACTCCCCCGCTCCACCCATGCTGCCCTCTCCAGCACCCCCACAACCAGCAGACCGCACTTCCAACACCCTGGAGGGCCAGGGTCTCTGGGGGCAGGTGAGGACCATGTGGTGGTGATGAAGGGTGCTGTAGAGGGTTGGTGGAGGCCATGGATGGCTAACCCAGAGAGGGGGCCTCTGCTCTGAGCTGGCCAGGCCTGCTGGACAGGAAAGCCCCAGCTGGGGAAGGACTGTGGATACTGGTAATCAAGACAAGACTGTCTCTTACTGTCATGTGTCACCATCCATCCACACCCAGAATTCTCCACTCTCTCACTACCACACTGTTGTAGAAAACGCCCTAGAAGGGAGGGGAAGGAAAGAAACACTTGAAAACTCTCTAGAAATACTGATATCTGCAAATATATTTTTTCTCTCCTCAACATTGTTTTCAACTCAACATCTGTTCCAGAAGTCATCATAAGGGCTCAGTGGATTACATTTACTAACACAGATGAGCAAATGATGAATGCACATGTACACAAGTCAGAGGAACTTGCACTTCCTATTCTAGTCTCAGTGGAAGAGTTCAGCATATGCTTACACATTTTTGAAAATGAATTCAAATGTTCCCCATTATTTACATGATTTTTTTTTTTCAAACCATAGTAATTGTTTCAACACATTGGTAAGGTCTGTTTTCCTGAAGTTGACATTGTATCCTTAATTGGTGAGTTTCTTAGACTAATGATAGATCAGTTAAAAGGTGATTTATTGGATGAAGAGGTTTGGGGTCTGCACTTGATTATTACAAAGGATTAGGCCTGTTAGGGGTTGGTCAAAATGTATTTTCAATCATAATGCTCCGTAACTGCTCTTGTTTAACACAGTTCTTAAATTGCACATCAGAAATATTCAACGTTCACTGCACCCAATTCAGTGTCTTAATCTTATTACAAAGTACGCCATATGATTTATCATAATGCATACACACTGGAGTCATTGAGTTCATTTAATTGAATTTAGTCACATGCCCTAGAGCAGTGGTCACCAACCGGTCTATCGCGATCGACTGGTCGATCTCCAAACATTTCTGTAAAAAACCCAACAATAAAGCCTTGCGTTCCTATTTTTTGTGAGATTTCAAAACGTTTAAAACCATGACTAGAGAGAGACTCAACGAATACAGCAAAGAGCTGCTGTTTTTATGAATAAGTTAATGTTTAAGTTGTTATTCAGTTGAAAAAGAAAAGGAGATCCTCACGCTCTAGGAGCTCAGATGCAATAATTGAATAACCTAATAACCAACGTTTCGACAGACAAGCTGTTTTCATCATGGTATAATGACAAACACTGCGGGTCACTAGTTGATATAGTGTCAAAGGACACACAAAGGTGTCTGTAATCATGGCCGGGTGTGGCCTGATATCATTGGTTAATTCACAGATAAACAGAACATACAAAAAACATGAATGGATAGCATACGACCATAGATACAATTTGGCTACATATGCCTGCAAACATTAACAATGAATAACAAATCACAATAATCACAAGAATGGCTTCAGATCAAAGTCTACGTTGAGACCGAAGGGAGCAAGGTTCTTTAAATGTGTTTGTTGAGGGCTGATAGTTGTCACCCGCTTCCCTTGAAAAATAGTTTGCCCTACAGCCAATTCTGTCGAATCAAAAGAATTTGCAAAAAACAATCAGATTTTGACAGAAATATGGCTGAGACGCAAAGAAAATTCAAGGAGAGGGGGTACAAAAATTGTTATAAGCATTGATTTAGGGAAAACTTTGCCACAGATGGAAACCACTGGCCTATCTGACTTAGCCATCTATTGTTATCACCAATGTTTGGGCATCTTCCATAAATTGCGCCCGCGAATCCGGCATAGAAATAGTTAGAAAGAATAAGATGAAGCTCCGGTTATATGGATAACTATTGAACTATTGATATAGTAGGAAGACTGCTGGAAGGCTTCAGCTGCAGTAAAGCCAAGTCAGCCCGTGCTCATGGTTCTCACAGTGGAAGTGAAATGATAGACTACAATGACTTTGCTCATGATCATGCACGCCTTAAATGACATGTAACTGTAGTAGTGAAGGAAAACATTAGCGGTCAAAACCATTCATCTTGGGGCAACAGGGGCAGCGGGTTTTCAAAATGCTATCATATCACCCAATTATACCATTTATAAAATGGTCAGATATATATATATATATGCTTTTTTTTTTTTTACTTTTATACAGACTATCTAAAAAATGTGAAAATTGACAAATTATCCAATGGATTATGATAATTTTCTGGTAAAAAAAAGAGGTGCAAAAACATACGTTTGCACCCCCTATTTTAATTGGCTCCATGGCTCAGGCGGTCAATTGGACACAAGGCTGTTTGGCTCATCTCAGTTGCGAAGAGGAATAACAGCAGCTGTTTCTGATTTAATAAACAATGCCATACTCTGGTGGGTTGTAACATTCAAATAGAACCCAGCCCTGAAATTAAACAGGCTGAAAATAATTTGTATGTCATATCATAGGGAAAGACACTGCATTCACAGATTTGCACCAAGTGGGCAGTTCGCATTTGTCACTTCAAGCCCAAATATATTGTACTTTGACTAAAACAATGACTTATTGACTTAAATTGTTGTGCAACATCATGGGTAAGCTCTGGTTCTAAAAAGTGGATTTCTACTGGTGTGGGCGTTTTAAAATCAAATATAAATTGTAGAAATTCATATATAAATATTGAAAGAGTTTGAGACATCTAAAAGATGTGCAACATGAAAATATTGTCCCATTTACATTGTGTAATTTATTGACAGTCCCTAACTATCTACAGAGATAGGCTATCCAAAGTCAAACAAACTTTGCCAGGGTTGCACACCAGCCGGCTGAAGCTAATTGGCTAAATTATTTGGCTAACTCTTCCCACCTGCGAACACACACAAGATAACCACATCAAACCGCACCCCGAAACCAACTCGCGTTTGAATTGACTCATTTCTTAATGAACCAAATCTAAAACGAGGCCAAATCAGGAAGTGCAGTTGCCTTTTAAATTAAAACCTCTTAAAACATGATTGACAAGATTTTATATTTTCTCATAGTTAGGGGCGAAATATGCCAATTTCCCATAAATTACTATGAAAGCACAAGAAAGCATAAAATGTTAATCTATTTTCTTAGTCCCAGGTAGTATTTTGAAAAAGGTTACATTATCTATTTCACAGAGGAAGTAGTAACTTGTTATCACTGTTTTCCCCTCATCCCCAGACAATGAGGGAATTCTATTAACCTGAGCTGTGGTGCACCGGTCTATGGCCCATGACATGAACGGGCAAAAGCGGTGAGGGAGGAGCGCCGCTCGGTCATGTTGTAAACAAGGCAGCATGGTGCAACGTCCAGATATCTCTTCTCCATAAGATATATACCATTTTATCTGCCTTTATTGGGGAGGCAGATAAAACATTTGTATCAACAGCAATCACTTTTGCATGTGAAAAGACAGTCTTACTCATTGCGCCACGTGCTTAATCTAGCCTAGGCTACGCCACTTTTGTTTTGAACCGACTTCGCCGTGGGCTTTGAAAGGGGCACCTGGCTCACGCCCCGGGAGGTAGCCCGGTTCCAAAACGAATGCAATCACTTTCACCCGGTGCAAACTCCTCTCACTGGGGTAACCCAGGCCAGATAATCAAATTCCCTCACTGAACTCACCACCGCTAGCTCTCATTGGCATTAAAAAGTGTTAGTCACATTCATAAGGTATGCCCGTTGCACGTAAGGCAACGTAATAATACAGATGAAAATATGCCTTGAGTGATCATAATGGTTAAGGGGGGGTATTCAGTTTTTGCAAAGTACTTAATCTTTTTGTTTTATTTTGTTCTCCATTCCATGTGGAGTTCCATTACCTTAGATCTTATGAGATGGTTATTGATTGCCTCCCAAGCTGGCATGGGACCCACACTAGCTGAAAAAGATGAGGGGCGTGAAAATGGAGCCCAGACATGGCATAGGAAGGGCCTGGTCCCTGCCCATGAGTTTTGAGGACGCTAGATATTGTGGAAATCCTGAAAGACGAAGCAACAATGTGATTGTGTACTTCAAATTATCCACAGCCCCCAACAGCATAAATTACAGGAATGCACTGCAAGACTAGCAGATATATGTAAGGTATACATTTACATTTTAGTCATTTAGCAGACGCTCTTATCCAGAGCGACTTACAGTTAGTGAGTGCATAACTTTTTCATACTGGCCCCCCGTGGGAAACGAACCCACAACCCTGGCGTTGCAAGCGCCATGCTCTACCAACTGAGCTACAGGGGACCCTGTATGTGTGTTTGTATGGGTGCCTGTGAGAATTTTCTTTGTAAAGTATACATATGCATATGATATGTACTACAGGCAAATAATAAATAGAAACTATGCTATGGAACATGTTTGTGTATGTGATTTATTTAATGGTGTCTTAATGCTGCGTTTACACAGGCAGCCCAATTCTGATATTTTTTCCACTAATTGGTCTTTTGATTTTGGTTTGCAAACCCTCGAGACACAAGCAATTTGTGTTGTTTATACAAAGGTTCTCCTTCCATTTCCGGAATTAACCAACCAACAGTTGCACATTTTGAACTTGTGTAATTTAAAGTATGTCCAGTAGAGGGAAGTCACATTAATAATACACTTGCCTCCATTGTCAGAACACAACCAACATTTCCAACAGAATATAAGAATCAATCTGCACTCATAAAAAAACAGAATAGAAAAACAACATTCACAATTGCTTTACACATAAGACGTTGACCTATTTATTCACTGCAGCCTAGAACTCAGAAATGTATATTTTGCACATAGACAGAGCCAAGTAGTAATCCTAAAGTAGTATTCAAGTAGAAAACCCATACTACATCTTCCATGTTCTACACAAACCTGATCGTCTCTGCAGCGCACA